CTGAGTTAAGAGTAGTTAATTAGTATTTTTCTTTAATAAATATACATATTTTATCTTATATCTTATCTTATTTTCTTTTTACTCTATTGAGAAAGTATTTTGGTTAAAAGTAAATTTATATATATTATCTTATTAAAAAGATAATTATATTTTATCAGAAATAATTCTTGCATATATTATTTTATTAAGAAGATAATCAGTCATATAATCTTTTGAAGCTATAAAAAGTAAATAATTGCTATAAATACAATTATTATTATTATTTTAAAATAATCATATATGCATAATCTTAAAATGGTAATAATATAGTAATTATCAATTATTATTAAATCAGATAAATAAGAAATTTATATAATTAATTTTATTTATTATTAATTCTATTTTTAATTTATCTATATTTAGTCTTATTTATTTATTAATTTAGCTATATATATTATATTTAATTTATAATTTTATAAAATTAATAATTTCTTAATTAATTATTATTAATTTTTTTTTATTTCTTACTTTAACTTTAAATAACTTAATATTTTGCTAATTTTAATTCTTTATTATTATATATTTAATATTTCTTGTGATTATTCTTCTTAAATTTTACTTGTTCTTGATTAAATTAAGTAAAACATCATGTTAGAAACAATTTATAATTAGCATAACAAGAAAAATATTATATATAGAGAGTCAAGAAGTGATCAAGAGAAATAATTAAGTTTGGTAGAAGTAATTACTACTGAATTAAGAGTAGTTATTTAGTATTTTTCTTTAATAAAATATACATATTTTATCTTATATCTTATTTTATTTTTTTCTTGCTCTATTAAAAGAGTATTTTGATTAAAATAAAATTCATGTATATTATCTTATTGAGAAGATAATTAAATTTTGTTACAAGTAAAACTCATATAAATTATCTTATTGAGAAGATAATCATATCTTATTAAAACTAAATCTCATATATATCATCTTATTGAGAAGATAATCAGTCATATAATCTTTTGAAGTTATAAAAATAAATAACTGCCATGAATACAGTTACTATTACTATTTTAAAATAATTATATACATATAATCTTAAAATGATAATAGTCTTTTTGGTACTCTCTCTGTAAAGGTAAAACCAGAAATAAAATTATTAATCACAAAAGTAACTCAAACTAAACCTAACAAAATCAATTAACTATAAAATAGAAAGATAGCTCTAAAGATTAATCAATTTTTTTGATCTATCTTAATTATCTAGATAGTACTTATATTGGTTAATCTATAATTTATTTATCGCTAATATATCAAGAACAGAAATTTTAACTAGTAAATATTAATTACAACTTTGGTTTTAGAAGTATTTAATTCATTCTGTAATTGAAATAGCTGGTATTATACATAACTTACATGAGGAAATTACCATATTTAATCAACAGAGAATATATTATACTTAGAGATCAAGATCCAGTACTTTAATTAATACTCCTATCAGTACTTCTATACCAGTTCTCTCATTATCTACTTCAGCTTCAACCTCCAACATATTTTTTACTAATCTTTTACACAGAAAAAAAACTCTAGTCTGATCCAGAAATATAGAAGTAGAATTCTCAGAAGAAGAAGTTTAATACTCTATCTTTCTAGATTTATCTTCTTATAACTCCAAAGAAATCAGGAAGAAGAAATGACAGATCAAGCTGTACAAACTTTAGTCCAAGTACTCATATCTCTGGTGCAAGTAATGCAGAATCAACAAAATAGACAAGTTGAGCTGATAACTATATCATTTTTTTTTATAGTGGCAGAATATATAAAGATCCTATGAATTAGATTGAGAAATTTACTCGTATAATAAATATAAATAACATAATAAACTTAAGAAAAGTAGAAATAGTATCTGTCTATTTGAGAAAAATCACCTCAACTTGGTATTAGCAGAGTAAACTCATGAATAATGATTGGTTTATCAGCTGGAATGGTAATAATGATAATAATTCATTTTACCAAATCTTTATTACCTAATTCAGAACTAATATTTAAGTCTTGGCATGATAAAAACAATTAAGATTGAGAATGCAGAGAGTAAATAAAGATGTAACTTCTTATGCTGAGGATATCCATACACTACTTCAAAAAATTAATTTAATAAGTGTATATCCTGCTACTTACTATATCAAGTAATTTGTAAAAGACTTAAAGCCAGAGATTGCCTTTCATGTGAACAAATCTAATCCAAATACTCTAGATATAGCAATCACAGAAGCAATTAATACTGAATTTAGCTACAGACAGATCTATCAGAATTCTCTTAACTCTATCTCACTTATGTCACAAAATCTTGATATCTCTTTTTCTATTCCAAATCTAGCAAATGATATGAGTAAAGTCATAACTGATCTCATAAAACAAGTAAAGAAGTTGTCAACTCAGAATAATTAAAATTCTAGTAACCATCCTAATCAAGACAAGACTTGTTATAATTATGATAAAAATAATCACATAGCCTATGATTGTAGATTATCAAAGAAAAATACAAATAATAATAGTAATAATAATATCTCAAATATCAAGTACTTCAAATATAATAAAATAGGATACTATGTTAATAGCTATATAGAAAGAAATATGAATACTAGACAGCCAGCCAATCTTGAAATCAATAGTACCACTACAATATCAAATAATAATCTGTTATTATAATAATTATAGCAATTCTTAGAAGGATAATCCATAATATTTTTATCTCCTAATATCATTACTACTAACAATAGTAATACTTTATATTTAAACTAGAATTCATACCTGAAGAAGATCAGAGTACAAGCCAATCTCAAAAGTCTTTAATAATATTCTTGTAACAACTGCTAACTGAAGCTATAGAAGAAAATAAAAATCTAGAAAAAAAGAATAAAAAAGTAGTAAATGTAATCTATTACAAAGAAAAAATAGAAGACCAGCCTATCAGAATAATAATTGACAGTGAATTAGTCAGCAATATTATATCAGCCAGATTCTTAAAACAAATAAGAAGAAAGATTGATAAGCCATCCAACATTAGTCTTATAGATATAAATGGAAAGTCTGAATGATCACTAGGAGAAATAGAAAGGTTAAAAATAAAAATTAGAAATCTGAGCCAACAAATTGATACTCTAGTTATAGAAAAAACAGAGTATAACTTATTGCTTGGCAATCAATAGGCAAAACAATCCAAAGCTATTTTAAATTGGGATGAAGAATTTTTGAGTTTTGAAGTTAAAAAAGAGTTTACAATCATCCCAGTCACTTGTACTCAACAAAGATCAACTATGAAATTAATCAGTCTTGAGAGAGAACTCGAGAGTTCTATTCTTGAAGATAATGATAATGAATATGAATTTAAAGAAGAGAAGTTAGTTGACCAGTCCCTATATATAGTATATGAAGAGCAAAGTGAGCAGCTTGTACTGAAAATAGAAGTTCAAGAAAATCTTATAAAAATTAATGATGAAGTCATTGAACTAGAAGAAAAAGAAAGAATTCATCAAGAAAGATTAAAAGACTATAATGGCTGCATTCATAATAGAAAAGAAAATAATTATATTCAATATAAGAAAGAACAAGATATATATAGATAGTTAGAGATACTATCTTAATTATTATTAAATATCTCTCCAACTATGATCAAGTCAGACTTGAATCCAGAATAACAATAACATCTTCATCAAGTTCTGAATTCATATAAAGACCTTTTTGATATGACCTAGCCTGATAGAACAAATATACTTCAACATAAAATATATTTAAAAGAAGAAAGATCTATCACTCTCTAGCTATATCATCAAAAATTACTTATAAAAAATGCCTTTCTAAAAGAAGAGATCCAAAAAATATTGAATAATGAAATAATATCACTATTTAATAGTTCTTGATCAGCTCTAGTAATGATAGTTAGGAAGAAAAATGGAAAATTCTGATTATGTATAGATTATAGAAAATTAAATGAAGTTATTAAGAAAGATTAATATCCTCTATTACAAATAGATGAACTCTTAAATTCTTTCAAAAATGCTAAATACTTTATTACTATGAATCTTGCAAGTGGATTCTGACAAGTTGAGATGCACCTAAGAGATTGAGAAAAAATAGCATTTATCATTAATAAAGAACTTTTTTACTTTAATGTTATGCTCTTTGGACTCACTAATACTTCAGCCACATTTCAAAGACTAATAAACAAAATCTTCAAAGAATACATTGGGAAGTTCATAATTATTTATCTTGATGATGTCACTATATATTCAGAAACTTGGAAAGAATATGTGATTTACATACAAAAAGCTTTAGAAAAACTTTGATAAGTAAATCTCAAACTCCAGTCAGATAAATGCGCTTTTGGAAAAAACCAACTACTTTTCCTGGGCTATATCATAGGAAAAGATGGAATTCATCCTGATCTAGCCAAGATAGAAAAAGTACAAGAATTTCCAGTACTTACCAATATTATATCATTAAGAGAATTTGTAGGACTTGTCTCTTATTACAGGAGATTTATTAAAGACTTTACCAAGATAGTAAGTAATTCTCTTGCATAAATTATTCAAAAAGAATAAAGAGTTTAAATAGACAGAAAAACAACAAGCAGCTTTTGAATTGCTCAAAAAATATTTGATCTTACCACTAATCATCATGTATTCAGATTTTATAAAGCTATTTATTCTTTTTACTAATGCTTCTGAACTAGAATTAGATACAGTACTAGCATAATATGATAGTAAAAAGAAGGAATACATGATTGTCTATATCAGTAGAAAAGTAAGTAAGAAAGAAAGCAAGTATACTGCAACAGAACTAAAATATCTTGGAGTTATTTGGACAGTCAAGTTATTTAGATCTTACCTATTATCTGACATTTCATTCACACTCATCACTGATCACTCAGCATTCAAGTGATTAATCAACAAGCCAAATTCTTCTAGAAGACTTGCATGTTGGATAATGGTTTTACAAGAATATAATTTTAAAGTTAAACACAAATCCAGAAGAATCTATTCAAATATTAATCTACTTTTCAAAATATCACATATATCTACAAAAGAAAAAGATAAAATATAAATTTGGATAACTATACAGAATTATATAATTATCTCAACATACTAATAATACCTGATGAATTCTCAAAGTAAAAATGGAAATGACTGCTGGCAGAATTAAAAAAATACTTTATATAAAATTACAAACTATACAAAAGAAATAAACAGAATATTGATTATTCATTATTAGTTTATAAATAAGATTTCTCTATTTTGTAAATTAATTTTAGATCTAAATACTTTTAAATAATAAAAATAATCATAAGTTATAAAATTAAAATTGTTCATATTATATTTTATTTTATTTACAATTATTAATAAAATAATCTTATAGATTTTTACTAAGCTTAATAGTTCTTCAAAGTTATCATTTATTATTCTTTCAAGTTTTATTAATGATAACTTTCTTAAGCTTAAAATTAATTATTCTGAAATATATTGAAATAATCTACTAGCTCTATTAATAATCTTCCAATATCATAATAATATATTTCTAGTCATAATATGACTAAGCTTGTGATAAAGAAATAGTTTCTCTCTAATTGAATTTATACTTATTATGATATTAATTATTTCTTGATCAGTCCAGAGTATATCAAAATCTATATTTCTATTAAAAGATATTACTATTACTATTTCTAATATAATATTATTCAAGATAATTTTTATTCTGAATTTGTAAAGTGATAATATTTTAACAAAGAATTTGAATGAATAATAATAATTAAAAAAAATAAATTCTATTTAATTAAATAAATAAAAGAATATTTATAATAAACAAAATTCTACAAATAAGTATAATACAGAATAAATATAATAAATTAAAGAATAATATAATATGATTAATTTAAGTTATAAAAATTCTGGATTAATATATTTTTTAGAAAGATTATATAAAAAAAGATTTTTTAAGCAAATTAAATTATAAAATGAGCTAATTTTCATGCCTAATTTCTATATTACAGTATGTAATTTCATAATTTTGGCTATGTTACTACAGATTTAGAAATTAATATAATCTTATGTCATGTCAAATAATTACTCAGCTACATAATTTTTATTGATATTCTCTATATTAATTTGATTTTTATATTTATTTATTATTTTATTATTAATTTCTCTTTTATTTCATAATAAAACTATACTTTTTCATTATTTATTTTTAATATTATTGGTAACATGATTGTCTTAGAAATTTCTCTATATTTGAATAGGTAAGAATATCATTTTATTATTAGTATTTATTCTACATTTTTCTTTATTATTATTTGATAAGTTTATTTTATTATTGAATTAGGAAGTATTATTTTGTATTCTGAATTTACTATATTGTTATCATTATTATCATGTTATTAGATTATAAGAATAACTATTATTTGACTATATGAAATATGATTATGATATTTTTCTTTCTCAAAATTCAAAATTTTGAGAATCCAAAAGAGTGAAAGAGAGTTGTGATATTATATTATCATTCTTTTCATTTTTATTAGTTATTATAATTTATGAAATATTAATAATGCTTTAATTATATTTGTAAGTAACTTTATTAGCTACTTTGTTACTTTTCTTACTAGTTTCTTAAACAAAAAATAAGTTATTATTATATTCTTGATTACTTAACTAGTAATCAATAAATTGTGTGATTTTATATCCTAAATACTGATTGATTCTAATATTTTTCAGAATCAAATCATGACTACTAGAGTTAGAACTATATATTTTATAAAATAATATTAGACTTTCAAATATTATAGAGAATAAGAAAGTAATTTCTTTGTCTTTAACTTAATATATTTTCAAGAGAGTACAGTTTCTTATTTTTATTTTAATAATATCCAAGATAAGTAGTAGAGCAAGAAATTTTCCATCCTTTCTTTATATCAAGAGGTAGAACTTCTTCTTCTTTTTAAAAATTAATCTGTGATGAATGAGTAATCTCTTTTTCATCTTCTTTTATAAGATTGATAATAAACTTTTCTTTTTCATTATTAATGAAATATAATTTTTTGCTTCTATATTAATAATAGTGATAATTTTATAAACTATACTAGTGATCTTGATATTATTATTCTAACTAATTCTCAGTTAGAATGATTTTCTCAACTTCTAAATATTGATAGTATTAATAACCAGTATGAGAAGAGTTATTCTAATATTTAGATTACAAATATGTTATACTCTAAAGAGTTGATTATGAGTGATATACTTTAAATGATAGCTTTTAAGATAATAATATTCTTTTACTAACAAGATGATAAGACTTTGAGCAGATATGTTGATTATTTGATTTATTATAAAATTGACAGAGTTTTACTTTTATTTAATTAGTTCTTTATACTAGTAAAAGTCATGGCTTATCAATACTGAAGTTTAATTTGCCAGAGCTAAAAGTATTTAATTTTTTATGATAATTCTATATTCCAATCTATTATTCTCAAGGTATAGTTTTAGATGATTACCATTATAAGAATTTTTAAGAATTTTGTTATCTAATATTCTTAATTTATAAATATCTTTATCAAAAACTTGATAAAAATAATATGATTCTTTTTATTTCTGTGCAAATTTTTCATGATATCAATATTGGATTTCCATTCTCTTCATTAAGATTTTATCTTCAATAAAGAAAGATTAGTAATTTTTATCTTATTGGTAAATTTCTTTTTATTTTTGTTGAAATTTTTGTATATTTTGTTGAGTGATAGATCTATCTAATTCTAATCTATCTATAATAGTACAAGCTCTTTTAATTAATTCACTTGAAATAATATCTTCTTCATTATTAATTAGTATTAATTTGTGAAAAAATTGGAAACTCAGAAAGAGATCAACAAGATTTTGGTTCAATTGATAGATTTA